CCTGGAGCTCAGACTGGGGCCTCTTTATTTGATAGTGAGGTGTGGGTGGGCCAGAGAGGGTTACAGAATCCTTCTACCTGGGTCCAAAGTCTGCTCAGAACCCAGGAACACCAACGCCACCTGTCATTACTAACTTAGGACTTTGGAAAAGGTATATAACCTTAATGTACCTCAGGTCCCTCATTTGTAAACAAGGAATAACGGCACCTACCTTGAAGGATTGTCATGTTCTGGGCCCCTATTTCCCCACCACAGCCAACCAGGCTCCTCTACTCACTGGGCCCAAGGATTCCATGGAGGCCATGTCTTCTTGCCTGGGCTATGGGCATTCCTTTTGCATCACCATCCTCTCTCCAAGCCCCTGACTTCATCTCATCATCTCTTTGTTGTTCTCCCAGTTTCTCATCCCTGAGCTCAATTCTCTGGACAAAGAGGAAATTAGCTGCCCTTTGCCCAACTGCCATGTCTAGCTGTATCATCAGCTCCTTCTTGTCCCTTCTGCAGAGAGCCCCCTCCACTTTGAAATACTCTCACCTCAGCTTCCATGAAGCCTCCACCCTGGCTTTTCCTGGCCCTTGACTGTTCCTTCCCTTTTGTGATGGTTTTCCTACCCCTTCTTTGACCTCCCCTCCTTTCTTAGCTTCAATTCCCATCTGTGCACTGAAGCTTCCATATCTCCAACCCGAATCTCTCGCCAGAGCCATAGAGTCATACACCTAGGATACATCCCTTGATACTCAATAACATTTTGGACTTGAAGGGCATAAGGCTCCTAGAATGCTGCCTAGTCTGGTAGATGCTCAGTAAATGGTACCCATTAGGACCATTTGCAATTTAATCATCATTACTGTTTTAACAGGCAGAACTAGTAATTTGAAAAGAGCAGACAAAACTCTCTCCCAGGAATTGGAGGTGGAGGGATTGAAGTCCTTTTCTCAACCTCTGGGGTTAGTGAGTTGGAAACCCCATACCAATCACTGCAGACCAGCCATTCTAGGAACTAGTTACTAAACTCTACCTCCAAGTCCTCTAATTAATTTGTGTTGTAGCGATTACTTCTGTTGACAGCTTTGGTGGCTTTTGGCAAGTGGGTCAGCTCAAGCAAGTCCAGACTTATTGTGGCAAATCCCACTGGCTTCTGGGATGTGAGACATGATCCCTGTATGGCAAAAGAAGCACCTCATTAGAGAGAATTAATTGGGAGGGTGAGTGGGGAGAACAAGGTCCTCTCTCAGCCAGTGGCTGATGGCCTTGGTGCCATGGGTCACAGATAGGCCTAAAATACCCCATGATCTCCAGGCCAGCCTGCATCCTGTTGGGGTCCATGCAGCTGAGGCAGGAGCTCTGAAAATCATGCCCCCACCCTCTTTTCCCAGAGGACAAAGACTTACTATGCAAAAGCTATACTCCTCCCAATCTGGAGAAAGAGGCTTGTGTTGCAATAAGAAGGGCTTTGGTTAGATACTCAGAAGAATGCACATAATGCCTATTTGAGTCAGGCATTGGGGAGAAAGGAGCCAAGACTTTGACATGGAGCTTCTGCAAGGCCAAGGCACCTCACTTTTAACCACCTCTATGCAGCCAGGGCTGGAGGCTGTGGTGGGTGAACAGCCATCACTCTGTTATTTGCCTCAGATGGATATAGTCTTTTCTAGGGACTCTGGACATGACAGGTGGACCTTTGGGTTTTCCTTTCCTACCAGCATGTGGTTTCTGTGTCCTTGGGCTGGTCCTGTGGTTGCTCTGGGCTTCCATTCCCCCTGTCCCCCAGAGCTGGGAGCATGGTAAACTGGGTGACCTTGAAAATCTTTCCAACTTGGGTGGTCTCTACTCTGTATCTTGGGTTTTCTCTGCCTTGGGTGCCTCCCCTGTGCAGGTGGCCAGAACGATGAGAACTTCTTGAAGCTCTGAGCACAGTGGTATCTACAAGCACACAGGTGACTGTGATGTTGGCCTAGAACTCAGGCTCAGTTCACAAAGCCTCACATTGAACAGAGATGCAATGGCTTCAGGGAGTGCCAGGCCCAGCTCTTTGGGGATGAAGGGCCAGAAACTACTGAGAAATATCCTTCCTCCCATCTTTAGGATTTCTAGGAAACCTGGTGCCCTCAGCTCCACTTGGAGTTCCCAGGCTACAAATTTCTTAGAGCAGAACAGAAAAAGTGCCCTAGTCTTAATGATACTGGGCCCTGTGGGCAGGAGATGAGGGTCTTAGTGGCATGTATCACATGCCAGGCTTCTGTCTTGGCATGTCTTAGATGAGGTCCCACACCGCTACCTATGCTTCCCCTCAGAATTCTGGGGTTCTGGAGGGAAGTTACCCCAGTTCTCACCCTCCAGGGATCTTGGGGCCTAAGGCAGGCCACCCCCTCCTACTCTAAGACCCTGGGGCTCTAGCCCTCACAACTACAACACCCAAACCCTTATTTTCACCTCCCCTAGGTCCCCTCCAGGAGCCCTCACCCCTGGCACTGCCTCTCCTAGGACCCTGTGTGCAGCAGGTGAGTGCTGAATCACAGACTCAGAGGCACCTTCTCTGGCCACTGCCCCCATCCCTCATGAGCTCAGATACTCTAAACTCAGATAGTCCCCATGGTCTCCTCCTGCTCATGGCAACCTCCACCCTCAGCCTGGCTTGTAGGTACTCTGCTCCTTCCTTCTGTCTTCATGTTCTGAATGCCCCCTTTCCCATGATACCCCAGCAGAGAGGGCCCCATGACCCTCCCTGCCACATACTTCTGGGTGGCCCCTTGCACCGTCCACAAGGCTCTCCTGACTTTCTGGTTTAGCTGTCTCTCATCTTCCCTGCTGGATGTCTCAAACTCCTTTGTAGTCTTCAGACCTCTGACTCTCCCCATGTCCCCATCCTCCTCTTTCCTTTCTGCTCTGTCACAAGAACACAGAAGCCATCAAAACAACTCCCTCAACTTCCCAGCCCCGAACCCCCCCCCCAGCTGCATCTGCCGCCCCTTCTGCCTACTACTGTGGAGAGGGGGCTCTCCCTCTGCTGAGCTCTGGTCTACTCCCCTCTTCACAGACTCTGCTCCCCCCAACACCCTCCTCTCAGTGTCCTCAACGTCCCTCCTGGTGCCTTCCTCCCTTTCATGTTTACACTACCTACGTGCTCCAGTATCTGCCACTTAAAAAAGGAAAGATAGATAAATAAAAGCCTCTTTCAATGCCACATCTTGTTCCAGGTATGGGCATATTTCTCTTTTTCTCCTCAGCACCAAGTCTAACTTACCACCCAGGCCCTTTGGGGACAGAGTTTGTCTTTATCAACTGAGACACCAAAGGTTTTCTTTCCTTCCTTTCTTTTCTTTTTTTTTTTAATCAGAGTCTTACTATGTCACCCTGGGTAGAGTGTTGTGGCATCACAGCTCACAGCAACCTCAAACTCTTGAGCTTAAGCAATTCTCTTGCCTCAGTCTCCCAAGTAGCTGGGACTACAGGCATCAGTCACAATGCCCACTTATTTTCTTGTTGTAGTTGTCATTGTTGTTTAGCAGGCCCAGGCCTGGTTCAAACCTGCCAGCCCTGGTGTATGGGGCTGGTACCCTAATCACTGAGCTATAGGCACTGAGTCCCTTTCCTTACAGAGTCTCAATCTGTTGCCCTGCGTAGAGTGCCATGGCATCATAGCTCACAGCAATTTTAAAGTCTTGAGCTCAAGTAATCCTCTTGCCTCAGCTTCCCAAGCAACTGGGACTATAGGCACTTACCACGATGTCCAGCTAGTTTTCTATTTTTAGTAGAGATGGGGTCTTGTTTGTACTCAGGCTGGTCTCAAACTCCTGAGCTCAAGCAATCCTCTTTCCTCAGCCTCCCAGAGTGTCAGGATTATAGCCTGACACTATAGCCTGATTGAGCCTGGCCAATGGATGATCTTTAAATTCACGGAATTCTACCTCTCAGCCCACCCACTTGGCCTAGCTCTGCCCTTCCCTTCCTGGCCACTTGTCTTTGGACTCCCTTCAGGGCCTCTGTCCTTCACACTGCCCCTGGGTGATGTCAGCTGCCACCCTGGCTCCCTGTAGTGTCTCTATTCTGGTAAACTCTACTGCCATCCTTTAAGCCCAGGCCCCTCTCCTGGATTCCAGACCCAGAGATACGAATCCCACACGGGGTACCTCTATTTGCATGTCCCACAGGCTCCTCTCCCTCACATCTGCCCCTCCTTCTGGAGCCATCTTGTGAAGTGGTACCTCCACCTGCTCCCTTCCCTCCCAGCACATGCAGTTCTTCATCAAATCCTAATGCAGCTCCCTCCTAACTCTCTCTTTAAGGATCCACTTCTCTCCATGCCCACTGCCAGCAGCCTGATCCAAGTCTCTACCATCTCTTGCTGGATGTTCGCCACAGCCTCCTGATGGTTCCTTCTCCTCCCAAGCTCCAACCCAGCCTCAAGATGTAGCCATGGGACCTTTTGAAAGCAGGAATCTGTGGTCCTGCTTCACACAGCCCCCTAGGATGACATTTATCCTCTGTGCTTCAGCTTCTAACTCCTCAACACACCTGGCCTCAGCCCTCACCTGACCCCTTACTTCATTCTACTCTGCTCCACTGCAGACTTCGGTCAACTCTTGGCCACACTGCATGCTGCCTCGCCACAGCACTGGCATGCTGGCTGATCCCCAATCCTCCTATACTCCCAGCCCTTCTTCACCTGGCCAGCTCTAGGTTCACCTAGCCCAGAACCCAGGTTCCAGTGAAATGCCACTTACCTCCAAGCTCGGTTTGGTTTGCTGTCTCCCCCGACATCTAGCTGAGCTTCTCACACCCTAACACTTCCTGAACTTCATTTGCCCTTCTCTGTTTAATTGCTGTATTGGCTGCTCAACCCTCAACTCTGAGAGGTGAGAACCTGGGCCAGTCTCATTCAGGGTTCTAGCCCCAATGCCTAGCACAGTGCTAAGGAGTCAGCACTGCATTGAGTATTTAATGGCTGGCTCCCTGCCCCCATTCCCCACCCTGCCCTTAACCCTCTACTCCCCTCTGACCTCTGACATCTGTGGGAAAAGGCTGATTGCCAGCGGCAGGGCCAGGCCGAAGGCTGCCAGGCACACGAGGCTTTGCACAGGGAGGAGCAGCCGGGGGCGCGCCTGTAGGAGAGCCGTCCTGTGGAGGAGAAACCAGAGATGGAGTAGGCTGATTGCTCGCCACCATGCTGGGTCCCACTCAGAGTCTCAGGGCCTGGGTGGCATGGTTCTGGGGTCAGTGCCAGCCTGCAACTAAAGAGATATAGTAGATTCTGTCTTTGGGGCCTTCCCCAACTGGCACTCCTCTCCCTGGGCCCTGCATTGAAGGACATTGTGGTAGAACTTGCAACTACTCAAATCATAAATGAGCACTTGTAGGACACCTATCCACCACATGTCCACCCTTGTGCCAAGAAGGCCACACATAGGAGGAATGCTCAAAGAAGCTATTAGCCCCTGCTCCTGGTAGACACTCAGGAAAGTAAGATTGTTCTTGAAGGCAGCACATAATTAAATAGCAAATGAACCAGAATAGGTGCTGAGTTCAGGGGAGAAGACAAAAAGCGTGCACACACACTCATACTCACACACACAGCTGGGAGGAGGTGATCCTCCTCTGGGCATGAGAACAGAAGACACTCACTGGCCACTTCGCCAACTTCAAACCAAGAACACAGAGAGGGCAGTGACTTGTCCAAGGCTAAGTATGTAGGAGGCAGGCAAAGAGTGCTGTCATCCCAGCTACCACCAACTCAAGCTCTCCTGTCATTGTCATCATCAGCACCACTCCCCATGACCAGATTCAGAAGGCAGGATTGAGCCAAGATAAATCTTCCTCCAGGGCCCTGAGTTCTCCAGCTCCCCAGACAGCATGGGGGACATATCAGCTGGCAAGCATACCTTCACCATGTTCATCAGAGCTTTCCACTGTGGAGATCACAGCACTCCAACGGGGAGGCTTCAGGGTGCCAACAGGATAGAAGACTGGACTATTTGCCAGGTGATATTGTGTTGGTACCAAATCTGCCACAGGCAGGTGAGAGGCCCTCCAGGGGCAGGGCACAGTGTGGGGTGCAAGCAAACCCCATACTACACTCATATCCTAGGATATGAATCCCAAGAGCACCTGATCCTGAACAGATTGCAAAACGGGGGGCGGCAGTTATCAAACTTTAAAGTATAGCTGTTTCAAAATGCAGGCTCCAAAGAGCCCCTCACAACCATGAAATCCTGATTCAGGATAACTCCCAGGTATTAGACCTGGGAATTTCCATTCTAAATAATCCTCTGTCAGTCTAAAGTGGTATCCTAGGCCACACTTATGAGAAACCCTGCCCACATGTTCTTGCTCAGGTATTGACAAAGATCTACCTATCTGTAAGTTCTATGCCCTGGCTTGGCACACAGTAAATGCTCAGTAATTGTGCATCATTATTGTGTGGTTATCACCCATGTCACCTGTGGGAACAAAGGTCCTCGTGGCTAGGCTGTTCTCTAGCCCTTCTACTAGCCCAGATCCCAAGATCTGTGCAGCTGTTGAATTTAGCTTAAATCAAGCTTTTGGAGAGGGAAGTTTCCACAGGATTAACAGCATAAGGACAAAGGTACCTAAATCAAGGTTGAATCTCTCTGATCCCCCAGCCTCACCCCATCCAGCACCCCCAATCCTCTCCCTCTCCTCCTCCAGGTCCTCTCAAACCCTCCCAGGACTCCAAGACCTCCTGGGCTAGGAGTAAGGCTGAGAAAGGCCCTGAGATCACTTCTTATTTATTTATTTTTGAGACAGTTTCACAATGTTGCCCTTGGTAGAGTGCCATGGCATCACAGCTCACAGCAACCTCAAACTCTGGGGGTTAAGAGATTCTCTTGCCTCAGCCTCCCAATGTAGCTGGAACTATAGGTGCCTACCACAATGCCTGACTATTTTTTGTTGCAGTTGTCATTGTTGTTTAGCTGGCCTGGGCTGGGTTTGAACCCATCAGCCTCGGTGTATGTGGCTGGCACCATAACCACTGTGCTACAGGCCCCAAACCCTGAGATCACTTCTTAAGCAGGATAAGGAGTGTTGGACACAAGACTTGCCCTGTCCCGCTCCCTGCACCCAACACCAGGGGCCTGCCCTTCTGTTCCAATGGCAGTGACAAAGGGTGTAAGGTCCCTGGAGATAGAGGACAGGGAAGGGTGACAGAGAAAAGAGTGAAGCTCTTTCCCTGGTAGGTAAAGGGTGGGCCATGGGCTCAGTCCTTGGGACTTGCTGGTGGGGACACTAGACAGACCACCTTCTAAGTGGGGCTGTACCCTCCACTCCTCTTGCAGGGGTGGCTGGCTGAACTCCCCACTGGGGAAGGGGTCTGGGAAGCCCCAGCCCTGTACTCCAAACTCAAGAAGGAGGCAGGCCCAAGGCTGTAGTCAAATAGGAGCCTGGGGAGTCCCAGCCCAGAGCAACCAGAGAGTGAACACAGCAGGACAGGGGGAGGGGAGGAAAGGGAAATGGCAGGGAGGGATGGGAAAGGCAGCTGGGGGAGTTAAAATATGCAGATGGAGAGATGTGCGAATGCCTGGGAGAAAGAAAAGACCCGGAGCCCAGGGAGTGAAGAAAGTGGGGGAGTGGACTCGGGGAGCCACCATGGGCCATGGCCTGCACTGTGACCCAGCCTAGTGCTTCTACCTGCCTCCCTCCATCCCAGGGCCAGGGATGCCCGGCTGGGGGTGAGTAAGCTACAGCCCTCCTGAGCCAGCACAGGCAGCTGGCTCTGAGCTGGGGGCAGATCCCAGTCCTGGGTCTAAAACCAGCTTTCTCCTCACTGTGGTTAGAGCTATGGGGGGGGTAGGGGGGTGGGTGTGGGTGTAGTGTAAGAAGCCTGTAGCCTGTGGGGAGGTGAAGTGCAGGGTGAGGGGATGCTATCCTCGGAGACAGCGCAGTACTCTGCACTGAGGTGGGGAGACTCCTCTGCTTCAGACTAGAGATTTTTCCTTTCAGTCTCAGAGTCAAAGACAGCTAAGCATGCTGAATCCCACCTCTCTTACCCTAGCAGGAAACCTAAGGACCTGTGCCCCTCCCAGAGAGGTAAACAGAGGCCAGAGGCGATGGAGGGGGTTTCTAGCCCTAGCCACACAACAGCTTGTCTCCCCCAGTACTGTGCATTCCTTCAGCACTTGGAGCTCAGCTTTAGTTTGCACTCCATTAATTTGCAAGTAGGCTGCTTTGTAAGTGTTCTTTTGTCTTTTTTTCCTGGCTGTCCTGACTCCCTTACCCAACAGGGGCTCCCCAAGTGTGGCAGCTATCTCCTGCACGAGGTCCTCAGCAGAGGTTCTGTGCTAGAGTCCCTGCACCCAGAGGCTAGGAGTGTGGGCCAGGCCCCTGTCAAGAGCCACGGAGCTGATGTATGGTGAAAATGCAAAGCCCTGATGAAGGAGGTGATGAAGGGGCAGTGTCCTCATTTTCTTTCTTTTTTTTTTTTTGAGACAGAGCCTCAAGCTGTCCCCCTGGGTAGAGTGCCATGGCATTACAGCTCATAGCAACCTCCAACTCCTGGGCTTAAGCGAGTCTCCTGCCTCCACCTCCCAAGTAGCTGGGACCACAGGCACCCACCACAATGCCTGGCTATTTTTTTTTGGTTGTAGCTGTCATTGTTTGTCGGGCCTGAGCTGGATTCGAACCCGCCACCTTAGGTGTATGTGGCTGGCGCCTTAGCTGCTTGAGCCACAGGCACCGAGCCAGTGTCCTCATTTTTATGTGGGAAACTGAGACTGAGGGAGGTTCCCCAGCCATAGAAGATTGGCAAGAGGAGGTGGAGCTGGAACTCAGATTTCACATTCCCACTAGTCCCAGCCTGCTCTGCTATGTCGTCCTGCCTTGCCTACCCCACAGTCCTGCAGTTCTGGGGTATATGCCTACCCCCACAGTCCTGCAGTTCTGAGTCTAGCAGGTCTTCAAGGGCACAAATCTTGATATTCCCGGGGGAACCTGGGCTGGACACTTTTCTTCTCCCCAGAGGCTCTCAAGAGCTCCAGAGAAGGACCAATCAGATACAAGACTGTCACGAAGACCAGACTGCTAACCTCTCTCCATCCTACCATAGGGGTTTCTTTAGACCTTGAACTGAGTCAGTTTATGTAGCACCCAGACACTAGGCAGATCCTGGACTGTGGAGGTTCAGAACTAGAATAATCACCCTACTTCCTTGACTCCCAAAGCCAAGTTTAAGTACCTCCTCCCTGCCCCCTGCCCCCAGCCCCAGTTCAATGCTACACTAATCATCACTTCACTTTCTTTCTTTCTTTTTTTTTAAACAAAGTCTCCCTTTGTCACCCTTGGTAGAGTGAGCATCACAGCTCACAGCAACCTCAAACTCTTGGCCTCAAACAATCCTTCTGCCTCAGCCCCCTAAGACTACAGGCACATGCTACCATACTCAGCTAATTTTTCTAATGTTTATAGAGATGAGGTTTTACTATGTTGCTCAGGCTGGTCTTGAACTCCTGCATTCAAGTAATCTTCCTGCCTCAGCCTTCCCAAGTGCTGGGATTACAGGCATGAGTCACCACACTCAGCCCTATTTTCTGGAAATCCCAGTATTCAACACACCGTGTCCTCACTCAGGTACCCCCAGAGTAGGGTGACCAGATGTCCGGCTTTTCAACAATTTGTCCCACATCCTGTGGCATTTTAAGAAAGTCCCGATTTTTGGAAAGAATGCACAAATGGGTGGGAGAACAAGAAGGGAATATATGTTTTTCGGCTGCCATTGTGGCTATTTCGCCAGAATATGAGTTTTATATTATTTTTGTTAATTTTATAATGTTAAACTGTAATAATAACAAATAATTACTGAGAAGTGATTATTGAGACCTGCTTATCAAAGTTTGCATTGTTGTCAGGCCCTGCCCTGCCCGGTCCCCTGCTCTGCACCCCCCATCCTCCCCCACCCCCACCATGTTGTCCTGCCTTACCGATGTTAAAATCTGGTCACCCTACCCCAGAGGCTCTGCCCTCTTCTAGGATGAGAGGGACTGCCTGTTTGGCAAGGCACACAGGACCCCTCACTGGCCCCTACAAGCACATTTGTGCATTTGTGCCCCTACAAGCACATTCAGCTAGGCTGGACTCTTCCCTTGTCCACACTATTGGCCTACACCCTGTCTAGAAAGCCCTTCCTTCCTGCTCTCAGGGTCAGCTGCAACCCACTCCGGGGAATAGTCCTTACTCCATAGTCTTCCTCCTCTGAAGATCACTTTGGCCCCATTTACAAACTGCTTGCTCTTACCTGCAGCTGACCTGTGTATGGGTCTTGCCCATCTCTTTTATAAAAATACAGGCTTCCTGAGGTCAAGCCCCAAGTCTGACAGGGCAGAACCCAAACTCACACTGATCACCTGATGTGACCTGCAGACCCAAGAGGCAATCAGTGTAGTATGAAGAGCCCAGGCTTTGCAGTCATACTCCTGAGCCACTAGGAATGGCTCTGCCATTTCTTAGTGTGTGACCCTAAGCAGATGATATAATCTCTCTTTACCTTCTCCTCATCTGTAAAACAGGGATATCATACTTACCGTACTGTTGTGAGGATTAAATAAAAGCATTCATTTACTCATTCATTCATTCAACAAACACTGAGCACCTACTATGGGCCAGGAATTGCACTAGATGTTGTGCAGGGCAGCAAACAAAAGGACTCACTTGCCTCCATGGAGATTACATTCTAGTGGAGCCCACAGATAATGCACAACTAGAAAAGTGATCGCAGATACCAGTAAGTGCTGTGAAGAAAAATATGGGAATATGAGGGGAGAGGAGATCCTGAGTAATAGCAGCTGCTCTGATGGGGTGGCCAGGGAGGGCCTGTTTGAGGAGGTGGCATTCAGGCAGAGAGCAGACTGAGAGAGGACTGGGAGGTAGTGCTTGATATATGAGAGGGTCCCCAAACAGAGGAGAATCCCTTGCCCCAGACCCCCAGATGGAGTGCTCCCAACCCCATTCTCATCCTATATATCCCAAATTTCAACTGATGCTTTGAGGTGTCCCTACCAGGCAGAGACCCCAGGAAGATAGGAGGGAGGGAATTCTCACTGTCACCTGTACAAGCCAGGGGACTGACCCTCCAGGCACTCCTTCACCTAGGTCCCTCCCCTGCCCATGGCCCTGTCCCAGTTCCGCTCTGATCCTTGGGACCTGTCCCTGCTCAGCATCTCCTTCCAGCAGCACTTCAGTCTTCCCAGTGCAATTTCACACTCGCTAACTCACGTTATGTTCCCTTATTTTCTCTACAGTCATGACAAATACATAGAATGAGTTCTTAGAACATCCCTCTGAGGGAGACAGGGGAGTTATTACTATTTGTACTTTATAAGCAGAGAAACAGGCTGAGTGAGGTGGTAATATGTCTCATAGTAGATGCCTGCAAGGGGTGTGGCTGACCCCAGATTTGGGGGCTTCCTACCAGCATCTTCAGATGCAGTCTTCCCTGCACTGTTCACTGAGAGCATGTGAGAGTATGCGCGTACGCGCGCGCACACACACACACACACACACACACACACATACCAGTAACACTAGCTCCTCAGGGCAGGTCCAGCCTCATCCTTACCTCTCCTAGCACTTAGCCCAGGGTCCTGCGTGGTAAAAGCCAGTGAATTCTCACAGAACAATTCTAGTAGCACCTACCTGGGAGAGCCTGGTAGTGGAGGACACCACTTGGCACCCTCTGAAAACAAGGGGGCTGCCAGCTGCTCCCTGGTCCCTTGCCCTGGGCTAGCCTGGTCCCCTCCCTCGGTCCCCCCTCCCTGATGGCAGCCCCTCAGTTCTGGCTGCCCCAACTCACTTCTCCAGCATGGACATGACGATCGGGGGTAGCACCAGAATGGGCATGGGCAGGACCACCCGCGTCAGCGCCGTCTCCAGCAGGGCCTGGGGGCAGGCAGAGGCTGTGGTGAGAGAGAGGCCGGGGATGGTGGGTGGCAGGACACAAACTCCATCCCGGGGCCCCTGGGGGTGTGTGCTGTTGCTGAGCACATCTGGCTGAATGGAATTATTCATGGAATTGCTCAAGAAGCTGTATTCCACCCCCCTCTCATTGCCACACACATTTGAAAGAGCAGATTCCCATCACCTGCCACATGTGGGGGAGGGGTGGCAACACAGAAGCAGCCCCCAGAAGGAGCTGTGCCAGGGAGGTGCTCGAGCACCTCACAGAGGTAGTGGGTGCAGCCTCCCCTGCCTGGCCACACAGGAGTTAGAAGCTGTGAAACCAAGGGGTATAGAAGGACCAGCACCAACAGTGAGGCTTATGGCACTGAGAGAGGACACAGGTTCTGGAGTTTATTGATTTGACATCCCTTAAAGACAAAGATGTAGAAGATCTGATCTTGTGTCTCCTAGCTAGAGATAAGTCTTTCTTAGTAAAGGGAATGTGCTTCTGCTAAGTATCTGCAGGGTTTCCACTGGGGCTCTGCCTGTGCCCTTGGGAGGGTGTAGCTCCATGACAGTTCTGCACTTTGACAGCTATTGCAGTGTGTTCCTTTAATGCCACTGGCTCCTGGTCCTCAGAGGAGGCTCCAGGAATGGCTCATAGCCCTTGATCCCTAGGAAACTGGGCTAAATGCCCTCTGATAATGGGCTTAGGGCTGAAAATTTCTCTCAGGAACTTGGGCCCTATAGTCAACCTGAGGCAGGCCCAGGAGAGGCCCCTCCAGTCTCCTGAACAGGAGTGGGGACGACGGGGTTGTCTAGTGCCAACATAGGGAGCAGAGAAATGATGTGGGGCTGGAAGCCCCAATCCTCACTGGCCTTGCAGAGGCACTGACTTGGACAGGGCTCTTTGCAGATCAAGGGTCTCTAGACAGGGTGGGTGCTCAGCTGCCTCATAGCTAGCATCTCCCCCCCCCCCATACACTTCACCTCTGTCCCATTCCCAGTGCTCATAGGCCAGACCCCAGGACAGGGATGAGCCACTAATCACCATCAGGATGAAGATGGGAAGCACAAGGAAAAGTGCACATGGACTCATTTTTTAAAAAATTATTGCTAGAGAAGGCAGAGCTAGTGAAACTCGAAATGAAAGAGGGTCTTCTTGTGACAAAATATTCTTCTCCAAATCTTGGCAAGCCTGAAATCCCTCAGCCTTAGTGCACTAGCTCCCTGGTGAACCATTGCCTGCAGAAGTGCCTACTAATCTAGAACCACAAACTGCTCACCTTCCCCTTCCTACCCAAGAGGATGTGAAGGCCCAGGGAGACAGGCCCTGGGTCCTGGGGAGGGGAAGAAAGTTCTGGGGGAGTCTCCTCTGCTCTCACCAATTAACACCTTGTCTGGGTGAGGTTATCAGAGAAGCTGGGTCCTGAGGGGCCAGGACAAGAGATGGGATGTTTCATAGCGATAAGCAACTGTCAGGGGGGACAGGCTTGGCTAGGGCCAGACCTGGGGCTCAAGCATATAGAAGATGGGGGTGGAGTGAGGGAATCTCAAAAGGACAAAATCAGAGTCCTTTGGATAGAAGCCCCAAAACCAATCCCCTCCCTCTTGCTGCCCTCCCCCGCCCTGCCCCTAGAGCCCCTGCAGACCCACGTGTCTGGCTGCGATCTTGGAGGAGCCCACGAGGTTGCCATCACCATCCAGGACATCAATGCCTTCCTCCAGCTCCCCGTATCGCATCAGGACCACATTGCAGATATTGGCACTGGCTGGAGAGAGAAGGTTACAAGGAACAGGGGTGAGGGGGAGGATGGTGTTCCTAGGGGTGGATACCAGGCTCCTTCCTCACCTAAGCCTCCCCATCCTGAGCCACAGGGTTCTGTGTTCAAAGGCAGGGGGCAGAGGTATGGGAAGGGACAGTTCTGTTGTACCCCTGTCTACCAGCCTAGTGAAGGATTTTGGGGCCTTGAAGACCTGGTGAGCAAAGGTGAAAGAGCTAGTGTTAGGGAGAACTGTTCAGGGCTTAGAGTGCAGCCCCCTATGGAGGGTGCCACCCTCTTCTCTTCTGGGGTGGGCCCTGCAGACAGGCAAAGTGGTGCCCAGCTAGGAGGCCTCTCTAGCCTGAAGATGCATCCTCACAGGAGTCTGAGGTCTCACCATCAGCAACTCAGGCCCTGGGCCACCCTATTTTCTTCAAATGCCAGTCTCCACATCTAGCCCCTGGAGCCTCAGAGTGAATCAAGTTCCTGGAGATTTGCTTCCCTGACAGCAGGTGTCAGAGCAGGCACCCAGCACCACCCCCTCATCATATGGATGGAAAATTGAGGCTCAAAAGGGGGACTGCCTTCTCTGAGGTCACATAGCAAATTGGGGCAGAGCAGAAAGGCCACAGTGCCTAAGCCTCTGGATATCTGGAATGGAAAAGTAGGGGGAAGAGAAGTCAAAGTAGACCTATAATCTTGATACCCAACACTGAGGTCCTTCCTTTGGTGTGCCCCCTCCCTGCTCTTAGCTGAGATCTTGGGGACCTGGGCTCTGGAGAGGATTCCTTGCTCCTTAGATCAGCACTGCATGCTGAAGTCTGGGGGCCACCCGTCAGCTGGTGACTAGCGCAGGAAGCCTATTTCTGCTCCCCTGCCTGGGACTCACATGGCTGGGCCCGGGCCCGTGGCCCAATGTGGGTGCCGCCCTCGCCTGAACTCCTCCAGCCCTGCTTCAGGGTAGAAGTGGGGGGACTTGGGAGTGGTGGGCAGGTGGGGAGTGGGGGGTGACAAATGCAGAGCCCGCCTGCCTCACTCCTCCCCCCAAAGCGCCTTGCTGTGTTTAAAGTTTTAATTTTTGCTAATTAATGTCAATTAATTTTGTATAATGAGTGTTTAATTTTGGGGAGTGTGTGAGCCTGGGAGCGACTGCAGTTCTGGGCTGTGAACGCTGATTAGCATCAACACCTGCTGCTTCCCCCCTCCCTCCAGTGGGGGGGCATCAGGGTTTGGGGAGCTGGAGTGTGGCGGGGCCTAGTGGGCAGGCAGAGTGGGAGGGAGACCACAGATGCTCCTGGTGCCCGAGCCAATGGCTGGGGAGCCGAGTGGTCCAGGGTGCCCACAGCTGGGGGATAGGGCTCTGCAGGTGAGGTGTGGCTTGAGACTCTGGAGGTTTCTGGGCCTCAGTCTCCTGTTTCAATAAGTAGGGAAGTGGAATAAACAGAGGGGAAGACCAAGAAGCTCTGCAGTCTTTGGAGGAGAAAAGCAGAAGGCCAAATACAGTTCTGAAATGTATTTAGAGCACATACGCCATCTTCAAGCATCTCTACTGTTTCCACATGACGCTCAGTGCAATGGGCCCCACAGGCAGACCCTCTATGGCTCTAAGTACCTCTATGGCCTTGCACCCCTCCTGCCCCACAGTTGGCACACCTACCTGTCTTAAATGGTGACTCTTAACCAGGGGTGATTTTTTGGATACATTTGGCCACGTCTAGAGACATTTTTGCTGACCACGATCTGCGGTGGGGTGGGGGTGGGATTGTACTGGCATCCAGTGGGTGGAGGCCAGGATGCTGCTAACCTTCCCACAATACACAAGACAGCCCCACAGCAAAGAACTACCTGTAACTATCAATAGCGTTGACACTGAGAAACCTTTGTTTTAACCACAGCCAGAAATGGACAGACTTAGGAGAGTGAATCTGAGATAAAGGAGATTCAATAAATGGGGAACCAAGTGGAGGTAGAACTAGGAGCCTGGGTTTGGGGCCATCTGGTCTTGAGTTTTAATCCTGCCTCTATAACTCTCCCACCTCACTCCCAGAGGTGAGGTTCTGCCAGCTCCAGGGCCTGCAGGGCTCAGGGCCCAGAAGGGCCCCTTTACCTGGCCTCTGAGTGCTGGGGGTGCGCCCTCTAGTGGCGGTACAGATGGTTTACATCCCCCATGCCCCTGAGCTGCCAGGGCCTCAGTTCCCAGGAGACCCAGGAAAACCACTAGATAGTGGGATTTTCTACCCTGAAAGCCATCAGTCCCTGCCCTCTGAGAACCTCTTCTTCCTCACCACAACCACCACCATTCCAAGAAAGGCAAGGTTACAGGCACATGGTCCCAGGGATGGGCATCCCCTAAAGTCGGGGGCTGCCAGCTCACACCAAGAACTTGAATCGCTGCCACCTCGCTCCTGCTCAGCTTCCCTGGGTGTGAGAGGAGGAGCAGCATTTAGGGTCTTTCTGGATGGTGGCTGAGTTCACACAGAATGTCAGCCTCTGCACCTGGGCCCATGCCAGGTTAGGAGAAGCTGGGGACAGCTGAAATTTCTGTAGCCCCCACTTTGTGTGTATTATGTTGGGGAGACAGACAAAGAAAAGACTATGTGGATTTGGAGAAGGTGACAGGCCAGTCCCAGGTTCATGGCAGCATCTCGCTTACTCTCTGCAATTTCCCAAAGTGAAATGTAGGGCTAGCAGGACAGAAAAGGACTTTGGTTCAAACACAAAACCACTTGAGACAAACGATGTATCATGAAAAAAAGTGAAGGCCCAGCCTTGTTCCTCTTAGGACATCTCCTGAGAAGGCCAGCTCCTTTAGGACATCTTTGAGTGTGACAATGCCCTTCTCTTCTAACCTGCTTGGGTGGGAAAAAGACATGGAAAACCCTCAAATCCATGTCAGAATGATGGAAACCCTAGAACAGCTAGTTCTTACTGCCTAGTCAGATGGCACATGCCCTATAATCTCTTCTGTTGAGCTGTGTATACTTGTCCATTTATTGAGCACCTGCTGTATGCACAGGCTACTAGCCATCCCTCCCTTTGAGCAATGAAAACACCAGTCTGTTACATTGATTTCATTTCCATGGTCTCATCCAGAACTTTCAATTTTGTCATAGCACTTTTAAACCTTCCCTGGTCCCTCCCATCCCAACCCTAGCAAAATTTTTTTTTTTTTTAGACAGTCTCACTTTATTGCCCTTGGTAGAATGCTGTGGCATAATCATTGCTCACAACAACCTCCAACTCCTGAGCTTAGACGATTCTCTTTCCTCAGCCTCCTGAGCAGCTGGGACTATAGGCACCCGCCACAATGCCTGGCTAACCAAGTCTAGCAAATGTTCCTCCCATGATGGACACTGAGAATCTAATCAAATGTGTGTGTGTGTGTGCACGTGTATATAAGAGAGAGACAGAGAGAGACAGAGACAGATAGAGATAAAGAAAGCGCAACCATAGGCCATGGGTCTTCTCTCTAACACATGGGCAAAATCTATTATTGATGGTATCAGCAGGTTAATTAAGCAGTCTGTTAGTGATAATGTTAAGAAAGCTGGCATATTTTCAACTCAGATTGTCACCATTCAAGACTCAGGCATAACTGATGTTGGAGCAGCAATGCGGGGAGATGTCATGGAATGAGATAGTGAGGGAGAGAGGCTGGAGAGTAGGGGGGAGAGAGGGAGAAAGGGAGAGAGAAGGAGAGAGATAGATATTGCTTCTTGCTGATGGCAGGCTCAGTGTCAAGTCCTGAGGAAAATATGCTCTTGACTGCTGCAGATGTTCTCACATCCGACCCACTGCAATGCAAAATCATGCAGATTGTGAACAGCTAATGAAACAGCCAGTGTAGAAGGGAAAGTGAGAGGAATAAGAAAGAGTAAGAGACAGCAAGACAAATGTACCAGAAAGTGGTCCAAAAGAACACCACAGGGGAGCCTTCCCCCTGAACTAGTACAAGAGTAGACAAGCAGATCAATGCACAGCATGCTTGTCCAGTAACACACTCACCTGTCAGGGAAATTAAATGCTGGTAAAGAAGTTGTATCAACTCACAGGGAAAGGAACATTTAAACGTGGAGGTGAAGCAATGGGCTATTTACTTGGGCGATATACACTACTATACCTCCTCAATTCTAAGATGCATTTTCCAATATTTTAATGTTTTAAAAATCATAATGTGCCTTACAATGAATGTCGGGGGTGAGGGCGAGGGACCTTATCTGCTACCCCAAACAACTGCTTGTATGTGTGTGAACTTAGTCATGCGTAGAGGTATCTGTTCATTCAAGTGTCACCTCAGCTGACCACAGCAATCTATACAGAATTTGAACTTAAACTTAGATTCCTAATTGTTGCCTAAAACATCTTTCTAAAACTTACACTATAATGGAGCACGGACATGAAAAGTTATTGTACATGCAGAAGATCGTCTGCCAGATACCAGGCAATGCAATTAAAGACAGTAGAAATTGCCAAACCATAGATAGCTACCCTAAAGAAATGCTTGCCCATATGCACAAAGAGACATTTACAAGGATGTTAATTATAGCACTGTTTGTAAGAGCAAATAATTAGAAACAACCTAAATGTCCACCATTAGGGAACTCACATGGGAAGATCTCCAAAACAAACTGTTATGTGAAAAAAGCTACCGAGTATGTACATGATGATTTACTATATGTAAAACCCCATAATTGGTATACACACATATGTGTGCATAAATCCACAGGTTACATTTTGGAAGGTTCATACTTCACACAGTGGTCCCCTTTGGGGAAAGGAATTCAATGTGAGAATTAGGGGTTGTTGGAAGACTTCCATTTTTTTTTAACACCAAATTTTTCTATATTTTAAATTTTTACAATGAGAATATAATCATGTTTAGACATTGCCAAACTTTTTGAAGAAGATCATACAAATTTTGAAGTCAGCAGGGATTGGTGTGACCTCTTTACAGGTCCCACACTTAGGTATTTACATGTGAGAAACTTCCTATAGAAGCTGAGTAACTT